CAGCAGCAGCAGCAGCACCTGCAGCAGGACCAGTTACAGCAGCAGCAGGAGGAGGAACAGTTACAGCAGCAGCACCTACAGCAGGACCAGTTACAGCAGCAGCAGGAGGAGGAGGAACAGTTACAGCAGCAACAGCAGAACCAGTTGCAGCAGCAGCAGCAACATCAGGACCAGTTGCAGCAGCTGCAGCAGGAACAGCAGAAGCAAGAGGAACAGTTACAGATGCAGCAGCTGCAGCAGCAACAGTTACAGCAGCAGCTGCAGCAGCAGCAACAGTTACAGCAGCAGCAGCTGTTGCAGCAGCAGCAGCAGCAAGAACAGTTGCAACAACAGCAGCAGCAGCCCCATCCACTGGAGCCAGAGGAGGAGGAAGAGGTGGAGCTGGAGCTCATGCCGGTGGACCTGGGGACGGAGCAGGAACTGGAGCAGCAGCGGCAGGAGCTGGAGAGACAACAGGAACAGCGGCAGCTGCAGCTCAAACTGCAGGAGCAGCTGCAGCAGCTGGAGCAGCAGCTGGAGCAGCAGCAGCAGCAGCAGCTGGAGCAGCAGCAGGAGGTGCAGCTGGAGCTGACCCCGGTGGATCTGGGAGCCCAGCAGCAGGAGGTGCAGCTGGAGCTGACTCCCGTGCAGCCGGAGCTGCAGCTGGAGCTGGTGCCCGCCGCAGGGGGCGGCGGGACTCCGGCCCCGGGCGCTCCAGCCGCGGTCGTGGTGGCCCCCCCGGGCTACGTGGTGCTGCAGGAGCTCATGGTGTTGCCGGCCGTGGCGGCGCCCGCGGTGGTGGCCATCCCGGGCCCCGCGGGCAGCGCGGCGCTGACTCCGGCCAGGCAGCGGCGGCGGCGGCGCGCGCGGGACCGGCCGACCATCTGCGGGGAGTGCGGCAAGGGCTTCAGCCGCAGCACGGACCTGGTGCGGCACCAGGCCACGCACACGGGCGAGCGGCCGCACCGCTGCGGCGAGTGCGGCAAGGGCTTCTCGCAGCACTCCAACCTGGTGACGCACCAGCGCATCCACACGGGCGAGAAGCCCTACGCCTGCTCCTACTGCGCCAAGCGCTTCAGCGAGAGCTCGGCGCTCGTGCAGCACCAGCGCACGCACACGGGCGAGCGGCCCTACGCCTGCGGCGACTGCGGCAAGCGCTTCAGCGTCTCGTCCAACCTCCTGCGCCACCGGCGCACGCACTCGGGCGAGCGGCCCTACGTCTGCGAGGACTGCGGCGAGCGCTTCCGCCACAAGGTGCAGATCCGCCGCCACGAGCGCCAGCTGCACGGCGCCGGCCGCTCGCGAGGCCTGGGCCTGCTCCGCGGCTCGCGCGCGGCCACCGGCGGCCCACCGCGCTCCGAGCAGGCGCCGTGACCGGGACCGGGCGGGCACGGGCGGGCACGGAGCGGGGGGGGGGGGCGGGGAGGGCGCGGGCCCCTCCCGCCCCGTTCCGTGGCCGCGGGGCCGGGCTTCCCGCGCTCTCCCTGCTTAGCGGAGGGGAGGCCACGTTCACACACGGACCCTCGGAAACGCTCCTCGCGCCATGAGAGGAAAGCCGCCGGGGCCAGGCAGCCCAGGTGTCGCGCATCCCTACGAACAGCGCGCCGCGCAGATTTGTTCCTGGGTACCGATCCGTGAGGAGTCTGCCAAAGCCCTTTCCCCGGAAAACTGGACTTGGCAGAAGTGAGAGAGCCACAGGAGAAAACTGCCAGTGACACGTGTGACAGTTGGTGACATCAGACACGCATCGAACACTAACCAGGGAATCAAATATATGTGGTAAAACGCACACGAATAGGATTTGGTCCTGGTGAAAATTTCTTCGAGGAAAAAAAAATGGGGGAAAAAGGAAATGTATCTGCACTTTGTAGAAAACCGATCAAGGCGTTAAATTGTCGTCAATGGCATTTGCCTTGAAAGTACTTTCTAGAATGAAAATGCCTCAGGGTGGATATCATCCTGATTAAAATGTTTGTGTTCATAAGCACAGGGTCAGAGTGTCCCCTGGGTCAGTGCACAAATGCCAGGAAGCCCTTCCCTGGGTCGAGGCTAAACCTTCCCTCCTGGGGAACCCAGGGTTCCAGTGAGTGTGGGAGGCAGGCTCTCGCCCTCTTTGCTGCCAAGGTCCCGCACCCACGGTGGCCTGGCAGTGTCCTCTTGAGCAGAAGCCTGCGGCTGAAGCAGAGGGCATTCCGAGAATGCTCTCCACAGTCCAGTGGAGTGTTCCCCTTGGGGAAGGAGCTCTGAGCTCAGCCCGCCCTGACCTCCCTGGGATCTGCCATCGCTGGGCTTCTCTTTTGCTTGTCCAGGGACTAAGGCTATGGGGTTGGGGCCTTGAGACCCAGGGGCAGGGTTCTCCTGGGCCGGGCTATGCAGGGTGCTGGCCCGAGCAGATCCGGCCTCATCACTGGTGGGGTCAGAGGGAGAAATTGGGGGACAAAGTTTGGAGGCAACAGAAATGCTTTTTACAACGTTTACAAAATTGTCTGGGGGTCTGTCTGAGCATTGGCAATGTTAATGCCTGTGGGAAGGCAGGACAGTGGAGGAGGCTGCCCGCCCCTTCTGCCCCAAGTGCTTGCTTCCTGCTCTTGACTTCCCATGTGCGGCTGCTTCGATGCTGCCCCCCTCTCTTTGCTCCCTGCTTCTCCTTTACTAACACAGCCTGCGACATCTTACAAATGTGTTGGTTAAGTGAGAAACAAAAATTGAAAAATAAATTTAAATGAAGAAATACATTGTCTTGTCTCTGCACAGCTGGATTTTGTGTCTTGCCACCAGTTTCATTTCGGCAGAATATTTTCCTGGTCGCTCTAGAGCAAGGGACTTCATATTCAATCCCATGCTCAGTGCTCCTCCCCCAGACTCTTCCTTGTAACCTGAGTCCGGTGGCCTAGGATGGGCCTATTCAATAAAACCCTGCTGGGAGGGATGGGGACCTGAGGGTAGATGCTTGAGGAGGCCAGTTTGGGCATCTCCTAAGGACAGCTTTTCCCTTCCTCTGCCACTGTTTACAGTATTTGTGTACAATGGTGATTTCCTCACTCCCCCATCCCCCCACCGATGGGCCAGAGCCATTTCCCTGAGTAACCATTCACCAAGGCGATGGGGTATCAGATCTTTCAAATGGGGCTCTGACCCCTCAGGGGTGCAGGTCCGGGTCATCCCATTAGACGGGCCTCCTGGAGCAGCAGAGGTGCTGAAGGCAAGGGGGTCCGGGGATGGTGGGGGAGATGAGTGCCCACTGCAGCAGTAGGGGCCATAGGGTGACCCCCCCCCCAGGCCTTCTGGCATCAGCGTCCTTCCCCGAGTGGAATCCATGCGGGGTGTGGGGCAAGGAGTGGCCTGAGCAAACGTTGATTCTCTGCCCACATCTTGGGTGGATCCTTTTGCAGACACGTGGGCTCCCCCCACCCTGCTTGGCTTCCCCCAGCAGCCCCTGCGGCTCTTCCATCTTCCACACTCGCAGAGAAGAGGACGTGGGCCCCACCTCTGAAGAGTTGTGAAAGCCCGGCTCCCTTCCTTACGTTGGCATGAGTCTGAGGCACCACTTCTGCTCCAGAGGAGCTCCGCGATGAGGTAGAAGGCCCCTTGCCTCTGTAGGGCTTTGCCTGAGACCCTCTCCTTCCTCCCCACCCCTCCCTGGTCTGCACCCCTGCTCCTACCAGCCTCCCCTGGCGCTTTCCTTGAGTAACATTCTGCAGTCTGCTTCCGCGGAACCCAGGGCAGGGGCCCAGTCCAGGTGGGTAGGCCAAGCCTGTTGGTAGGTGAAGGCCATGTGTTGGGTGGGGTTTGTCCCAGGTGTTGACAGGCATTGCTGAAGAGCTCACAGCCCAGTAGGAGAGAGACATGAGAGACACACACATAAATGGTCATACAGTGGGACGGGCTGCGGGGGGACAGAGCACCTGACCCTGACATGGTGGAGCCAAGTGGCCTCACAGGAGTAGTCTTGCTGAGCCATAAAGGTGAGCACAAGAGGGACTACAGGGGAAGGCGGTCCAGACAGAAGTCACATGGTGCAATGGATCAGAGCCAGAGAGAGCCAGATGTGATTAGGAATGGTGAGAGTTTCCAGATGGCTGGGCGGTAGGTGTTACAGGAGACAGGTGGTGGAATGAAAGGGAGAGCTAGGGGCTAGATTTTGTGGAACCTATTGGCCCCAGACTCCCAAATTCCTCCTGTTTACTGCCCTGACTTCTCCCCAGAACTTCTCAGCATCCCTGTCTCCTTTATTAGGCTTCTCCATTCCGATAGGCATCTAAGACTAAGCAGGCCTGCCCTCTGTGTCCACCCCCCACCCCCAATAACTCCTGAGTCTGGAAGCCCAGCCAAGTGTGGCCCCATGAGTCAGGCTTTATCCTCCCCCACCCTGGGGTGGGGACTGCTCACCCCTGATCCCTGCCCTCATCACCCAACTCCCCCCACCTTGTTTTTGCCACCGAACCACAAACCAGCTCAGTCCCCAATCCTGGCCACTCTCCACCCCCATCCCTAGCAACAGTCTGGGCAGCAGAGACAGGAATGGGCACCCTCCTCCGTGCCCAAAAGTGATGGGAGCCACGGTGCCTGAGCCATCCTTCACTCCTGTTCTTTTGTTTTGAACAAACGTCATGGGCAGAATGCCTAGGGCCCCTGCCTGCACTCCCCACCCCGGCGAACCTGCATCCTGAGCCCCTGTCTCTGCGGCCGGGAAGCCACCCATGGCTCATCCCCATTCACAGCTCCCAGGGCCAGTGTGTCCCAGACTTGGCGTCCCGTGTCAGGAACGGGGGAATCCCGGTGGCAGACACATGACATGCCACGGCCCAGGGCTGTGTAGCAGGGAGCTAGGCTCCTCATCTCCCCCCGTCCCGGCAAGGGCTCCCCCTCCACCTGCTAGCTGTAGTACAAGCCGCATCCAGCAGTTCTTAGACTAGAGTCAGTGGTCATCACGTTCACGCATTCACCTGTGCCCTTGCTCACTGTGGGGGACTCTGCTTTTCAGTGTTTCGATCACTCCTCTGTGATGAGCTGACAGCCAGTTAGGCTAAATCATGTGTGTTGGGAGACATGAAAGGAAAGCGTAGAGACTTGGGCACTAAGAAAAGAAGTTTCTTAATGGGTGGGAATCTTGTAAAGGAGTCCAGACTCAAGGCTGGCTCATCAAGTGAAAAAATACAATGTGAATTTTTTTTTTTTAAAAGCTCACAAAATGACTAAGAGTACAACCGGTCTTAATTTTTCATATAATGAGCATATCTACAAGGGTTTGCAAAAGATAGGGATCCTGTTGTTTTTGTGAGGGCGTCGGGAAAGGGCTCCAGGTCTTACGTACCTTGGGGACTAGTGCTAGCCGGAGGGACCCTGGTGTGAAATCCTTCCTGCCCCTTGGTGATGTGTTAGTCACCATAACCGCAGAACAGCAGGGTGTCATGTTGCTTTCTTAGCGATTAGGCAAATATCTTTCTCGGCTGGCCCTTGGGCTGTACTTGTGTTGTATCAGGAGCTGGCTGGCTAAGCCCAGGATTCTCTAAAATGGAAAATCCCCAGGGAATGAGATAAAATCAAATCTATAAAACAGAAAAGAGCCTGACTCTTATTATTGGTCTTTGCTTCCTTTGAGTCAGCTTGGTATCTTTTAGGAAATAGCAACTTTCCTCCGGGGAGGGCTTGGGGATTGGAATTCCAGCCACCAGTTACTTTGTGACAACTTTCCTTGCCTGCGAAATGGGAGCAAGAGTGTTTATTGTTCTGGGTTATTGTGTGTCAAACTCAACAGGCGAAATAGTACTGGCAAAGGGGCAAATGGGCCCAGCACACCGTAGGCCCTTCGAATATGTTTGTTGCATCTAAAGCAAGAAAGTGTCAAACACAAATTCTTTCCTCTGGTTGGATTTTCTGAGGTAAGGCTTTCTACGATTCCAATGTTAAAGAAATTTAGATATTGTAGAAATGAATCGTGAGCCCCCCAGATGGTAGAAGGGCATAGTTGTGCCTTTAGGATACTCCCCTGCAGGTAGGATCTGGTAGGGTCCCCAGGCGACTCCATCCCAGCCTGTGACATCAGCCTCCACCCAGGCTTCCCTCTTGGACCTGAGAATTCACTGGTCTCCCAGACTAGGATGTCACAAAAATCTAAAGCTCAATAAGACCACACAGAGCTCAGGGTGCCTGGGTGACTTAGTCTTTGAGACTCTGCCTTCAGCTCAGGTCAGGATCCCAGGGTCCTGGGATTGAGCCCCACATCGGGCTCCCTGCTCCGCGGGAAGCCTGCTTCTCCCTCTCCCACTCCCCCTGCTTGTGTTCCTTCTCTCGCTGTGTCTCTGTCTGTCAAATAAATAAATAAAATCTTAAAAAAAAAAAAAAAAGACCACACAGAGCTCTTATTTCCTGGCC